TTTTTTGGTCCATGTTTTTAGACATTTTGATCTCTTTGCACAGTTTATTATAAACGCCACCCTCTTTTTCAGGCTGGTTACGGCGTCCCTGCAGTCCTGAGTGCGTGTATTGTTGTGAATCCTCATGTGACAGGTACAGGGATGAGTTTGGAGTCATTTGCCAGTAGATGCTTCGCTTATTAACAATAAAGTCCTCATATTAACGTGCATGAAGCTGGTATCTTACGTTGCTGCTGAACTTTAATCCAGTGCATTTCCCCAGTGCACATAGCGCCACCCTGCGGCTGTATCCTAACTGTGCAGCTCGTTGCAGAGTTAGGGTTGTGATTTCAATTGTTTTGCCTTCATTAACTTTGTTTCCTTTTCAGAGACTTTGCCCTGGAGGCGTGTTGCTGACCTTCATCTGCTGATTTCCAGTGCGATCAGTGCCATGTTGGGATGGACGCTGTACAAAGAGCAAATCACACAGATCTTCCAGAAGGAGGAGGGCAGGTACGCCACACCTCACCTGATCTGAGAAAAACAAACTGTTTACGCATTTTTAGGCTCTCCATTCAAAAAAATGTGCTGCCTGTCAGACGGTATAACTATAATGAAGCTTCACGTCATTAAAGGTATTCTGCTGTATCATTATAGTTTAATTCTGTATAAAACACTAATGTAACATATTTTGCAGATTATTATTTTTATACATGGATATTTATTATAGTTTTTATCCCTTTAGAGAATTCTCAGGTCTCGTTTTGACTGCATTTTGGCTCTTCCTGTGTCGCCACTCTGGAAGGTAACAGATTTAGTTTGAATCTCATTTCCATCTTATACTGAGAACTTTACAAAATATTTTTGTCTTTTGTTGTTTTGTTTTTTCTTAACTTTTTGATTTTTATTTTTTTTTAACTTTTAGAAAACTTAACTTTGTATATATATATATTTTTTTTTGTCTGTGTGTGTCTGTATGTATATATAATATATTATAATAATTAGCATAATTAATGTGAGATTTTTTTTTTGAAAAACAATTTAATCCTAGTGATTTTTCTGTTCATTTTTCTGAGGTAAACTCAGAGAATATCCAAATATTACCTCATATTTTTGTGTCAAAAGAATATCCTCTTCATGTTTTTTAAATTTAATCTCATCTAATAAATTTAGCATTGTTAATTAATTTCTTTTTGTTTGTTTGTTGTTTTTGTTGTTCTTCTTCTTTTTTCTGCCTACATTGAGCCTATAACTCAACCATACTTTTTTTGTCCTTTATATTTCATCTGCTCTCTGTTTTCCTTTCCTCCTCCCTCATCTCCTCGTTTTGTCAGAGCTCCTGTCGGGATACTCCGAGTCTCCACAGCTGCTGCCGTCACAGTCTTCCCATTTGTGGCCTGGCTTTACTACCACATCAACAAGGATCTGAGATCAGACTGGCCTTCACACTGTACGACTGCCATTTAGACATCAGCCTGTTTTGGCTGATGAAACATGATTAAACACAACTACTTATTGAACACTTTTGTAAAATAATTAATAAAAATTTTAAAAAAAGTTTATTATTTAAACGTTATCTTCTGTTAAATCAAATGTAATTTTCAAGTGAAATAAAATAAAGTGAATTTAAGACCAGTCTAGTCTAAAAGTAAACTTTTTCCATTCTTCGGGTGGCAGCATAGACACGGCCAAAAGAGACAGTAGAAGAAGAAGGTTGTGACGTATTTTCCTGTGTTTAGTAACCGTTCCCGGGCTACGGATCTGAGATCAGCCACTTTAGCGCCTTGTGGCCTATTTAAAACTAGCACCGCTGCAGTATAACTGATCTGAGAACGGAAGCCAGTCCGCAGAGTTCCCGTTCACTTCTCATGCTTTACCAAAGCTGTAGCGGCTTCCTGCTTGTTGTAGCGGTTCTGTTCAGGTCCAACCATGGCTCAGAGTGTGCTGTATCACAGCCTGGGCTGCCGGCTGCTTCACAGCAGACTCTTACAGAGTCCGGCGAAGCTCACACTCGGCGCTTTACCGAGGCAGTCGGCCCTGAAACACACGCTGTCCCCGCGGAGAACTCACTGCTACCTGGTAGGTCAAACCTGCCTGTGTCCGCGGAGCTAGCTCACTTCATTGAAACATTTAACAGTTAGAGTCATGTGGCAAACAGTCAGATGATCCGGTCTTTCTTTGTAGTTTAACCAGGTTTTGTTTAGTGACAACAATTCCAAGTAGTTTTAAAATACTTATTGGCAAATAATGTTGGTGTCTGTATCACTCAATAATTTAGAACCATCTCCATTCACACCTGCTTCACCTCCTAACAGCACCACCTTAACCTAGTTTGGAAACTAGATGACCCGCAGACACGGGGCCAAGACCTGGATTAAACCCAGTGCTGGACGAAGATCCATTTTCAGTCCCGTCTCAGGGAAACTGGTTGTTCAAGCTGATTTATTAGAGAAAGTTCCAGCTCCACATATTTTTTCTTAAACTTTACTAGAGTAGCTTGACATATTTCCCATTTCAAATAAGCTTTATTTGCCTCATACTGGGCCCTGAAATAAGCAGTTTGAGCTCTAACGAACTTTGAGCCTCCTTTTTCCTGATTGGCTGCCCCTCGTTACATTGTTCTTTGACATAATAAACATGCAAAAGTAGAAAATATGTGAGAAACGTGAGTGTTTGGAACAGTTAATCTCCACTGTTGCATCCTTGTGAACATTGGTGCTTGTTGATATTGATGTCACAGCTGTGGGCGGTCACAGTATTTGATGAAATATTAGCTCTTGATTTCCGTTACCTGGGAAACACAACGTGACTGGTGTGATCAGCCCATCAGGAACTTTAAGATTAAACCTCTTTGCGTCCTGTATCGACCTCGTAGTATTTTTATGTGTGTGTGTCCGGTGTGAGTTGAATTGTGTGCCATTTGTGTCAAAGTAGGCAACAAGGAGGGAGTCCACACAAGATGTTTACTTTAATAAAAGATGATTTATTAAACATAAACTAACCAAGACACAAACATCAAGGAGAGTTGATACCTGGTGGAATGGAAGAGACTGAGCAGGTCACCTGGGCCGGCTTTTATAACCCGGAGAGCACAGCTCAGCTGCGTTAGCTGACAATCCTTCCTCATCAACCAGTTATTAATAACAGCAGGCCAGGACGTCTTTGATTACTTTTTATATTGACTGTGTAAATCTGTCTATTCCTAAATGTGACAACCCACCCACTGTCAAACACCACTAAATATAAAAAGTACATACAAATAAGATGGTAATAATAATAAGGTAGCAGCTTTGGTAATGCTAATAGGGGAGTGTAGCTAATTAAGCATTAAGCAGTGTAATTATTACGCTGGTGCATATGTAATGCCTACTACTGTCACAAACCTGGATTTTTAGATTGAACCTTCAGGGCAGCAGCGAAATCCAGCGTCTTTCAGCTGAGACAAGAGGAGAAGATAAAAGAGATTCTGTGGAAAGATCACTTTAAAGCTGTAACCTTTGCCTCATTTATGAGCGCTGAGCTGTTAGAGGTCCAAGAGTAGAGATGACTCTGTGCAGTTATCATCGCTGCAGACGGGGGCGCTGCTGTTCCTGAAATCAGAGATAAATGCCTTTGTTTTCAAGACTTACAGCAGTGAGTTTAAGTTAAGAGGCTGCTTTAACATTACTGCCCATCTTAGCAAGGAGAAATGCATCAGCCACATTGATGACACCAACCCTATATCCACTGACCTCATTTAAAACTGTGGCCATATTTAACTGCAGCATTTTTATATTTTATGACTTAAATTATCATCATCATCATCAACTTTATTTATAAAGCACTTTAAAACAACCACAGCTGACACAAAGTGCTGTACATTGGAACTGTAAAATAAAATTACATGAGATATAAATAAAAAACAAACAAAAGAAGAGTGAAATCATTAATTAAATAACTACTTCAATTAAAAGAGAAACTAAGTCTCACTGAGGTTAAAAGCCAAGGAATAAAAGTGGGTTTTAAGACGTGATTTAAAATTTAACTCACAGCTTCCTGTGCTTGCTCATTAACAGGTGAATGGGAGTCAGCGGCACACCTGCAGAGCAACACAATGGCACAATCAACACAGCTTAAGAACGTTTTCCTCGACGCCTCCTCCACCCTCATCGGGAGATAAGCCAAAGACGTCTGGGGTAAGAGTTCAACGTTTATGTTACAGCGGGATCAACTCCATTTGTTCTCAACTGAAATTTTCAGACATTAACTAAGTTTTAAAGGTTTCTTTTGTCATATAGGGCAGAGACATGACTGACGTTAGGCCCTGTAGCAGCAGTCTGTAGCAGTCTTCTCCCAAACTCTGCTATAACTGATTAATTTAAGGTGACCCAAAGGATATGGAGCTGTTAAAATAAGTTTACCAAGAGTTTATTTGCAGGTGGAGAATGTCACGACATAAATATCTGTATAACTATACCCGTTCAGTCCTTTTGCTTCCTTTGCTTCCTCTTTAAAGCCTGTGACGTGGAAATCTTTAGCAGTAACGTTTGCCATCGGCGGTGCGCTGCTCGGAGGGATGAAATATTTTAAGAACGAAAAGGAAGAAAGTAAGTATTTCACTGGGTAATGCGCTCTAAGACTAAACTTCAATGCCTGTATAGAAAGAAACAGCAGACTGTGTATTTTATAGATATAAAGGTTAAATAAAGTGATGGGGTCCTAAATGCCCCTCCTCTGTGACTGTGTTGTAATTGGC